GAATGCAAAAAGATTGATATCCTAGGTGTTAGTGAGCTGAAAATGGGCTAGTATTGGCCATTCTGAATCAGGAAATCATAAGGTTTACTACACTGGGAAAGATACAACCAAGAGGAATGGTATTGCATTCATAATCAAAAAGGACATTCAAGGTCTTTTTGCAGTACAATGATAGGATCATATCTATCTGCATACACAGAAATCCAGTGAATATAATTTACACAAATATATGCACCAACCACTAAAGCAAGTGATGAAGAAATTGAACAATTCTCCCAATGTCTTCAGTCAGAATTTGATCAAATATGCAATCAAGTTGCATTGACAGGTATTGGTGATTCGAACACACAATTGGAAATGAAAGGAAGGAATTTTAGTTGGAACATAAAATCTTGGTGATAAAAACTAAGCTAAAAATCCCAAGATAATATTTTTCAAAACCAACAACTTCATCACAAATACCTTTAAACACCCACACACACAAAAAGTGGCTATACACAAGGACTTCTTCAGATGGAAAACACAGAAGTCAAACTAAATTCATCTGTGGGAAATGGCAATGGAGAAGCTCAACAACCATAGCTAAAATGTGGCCAGACCATCAATTGCTGTTATTTAAGTCCAGGTTGAAGCTGGATAAAATTAAAACAAGACCACGAGAGCCAAAGTAGGACCTTGAGTATATCCCAACAGATTTTCAAATACATCTGAAGAACAGATTTGCTGCCTTAAAAACAAAGGACAAAGGACTTGTGGGAGGGCATCAGGCACATCATTTATGAAAAAATAAAAAGGTCACTAAAAAGACAGGGAAGAAAATAAAGGTCACAGTGGATGTCTGAAGTGATTCTGAAACTTACTATTAATCATAGACCAGCTAAAGCAAACGGAAGAAAGAATAAAATCAAGGAGCTAAGTAGAAAATGTCATAGGGTATCTCAAGACTATAAAGCCAAATATTATAACAAAACGTACAAGGACCTTGAATTAGAAAGCCAAACCTGAAGAACAGGCTTGGCATACCTTAAACTGAAAGAAGACTTAGAGGACTAAGATGTGCCTGACCTAAATCATGGTATTTTAAATTGCCTGATATGCATGTGGATCTTGGAAACTGGATAAAGAAGACCAGAGAAGAATCCATGCATTTGAATGATGGTGCTGCTGAAGAACATTGAAAGTTCCACGGACTGCCAAAAGAACCGACACATCTGCCTTGGAAGAAGTGCAGCCAGCATGCTCTGTGGAGGCAAGGATGGCGAGACTTCATCTTATGAACTTTGGGCATGCTCTCACGAGAGACCAGTTCCTGGAGAAGGACATAATGCAAGAGAAAAGAACTTGACAAGAAGGATTGACACTGTTTTCAACAATGGGCTCAAGCATAACAGCAATTGTGTGGATGGCACAGTTCTTCTCTCTGTTTTGCTCTGTTGTACGTAAGAACCGAGTTGATGTCACTTAGCAAGAATAACAATAACAGGCATAAGGGAATATACTAACTAGTGGTTGATGGCAAAGATAATGAATTGGCACAGCTTTATTGAAGAGATGGACACATTGGACATCTTTAATCTCCATCTTTTTGGGACTAACCTTGTATTATTATTTTTTAAGATACTAATTCCATAGATTCTATGATTCAGAACATATTTTTAAAACTCTTAACTAATACATTTAAAAATTAGTGACTCAATATCATCATTATATTTTATTCTTTATTTTCCCATCTAGAGTCTTGCTTTCTCTGCTTGATACTAACATTTATATATTCACATACATATTTGTTTTCTTAATAACTGTTCTAGACCAGTGCTCAGATTTTGGCAGCCCTTAATAAATATTTGATAATCAACTATCTGAATCAATGTCATAATTTTAAAATTTGCACTGGAACGTTTCTATAGAGTAAATGTGATATCCAGTATTACTGTTGAGAGAGTATAAGCTGCTGTCAAAAAGCTTCTTGTTGCCTGTTTCTCTCCATCAATACCTGAATAATATCTACTTTACAAGATTCTTAAAATAAACTCAGGGTAGATTTTGCATGATAGGCTGCCTATATTTTAATAAATGTTAAAAATTACATTTCAACAAATATTATAAATATTCCAAAACCTTCATATAAAAGCATCAGATGATAAAAACACTAGATCTTACTGGAACAGAAGTGTGCCGTGTCCCTAGGTGGTACACTTATTAATATGATTGGCTGCTGTCCGAAAGGAGAGAGGATAGGGTGCACTCGGAGGATCCTCAAACAAAGCAAGGCCTGGCTCTCCACGGCAAAGAACTCAATCAGTGAAAACCCCACGGACCCGGCTCTGCTCTCACACGTGGGAGGTTGCAACAGATTAGCAACGGATTTGACCTGGGTTTTCGCATACGTAAAAGATCTCCACCGGAACCCCCAACAATTTTATTGGCATATAATTTACATATCATACAATTAAATGTTTCAGTCATATCAAGAAAATTGAACAATCATCATTACAATCAGTTTAGGACACTTGCTGCATTCTTTTACTC